GGGGAGGGGAAGGAAAGGGAAGGGAAGGGAAGAAACACTCACCTTGGCCTTGGGGTTCCACGGCGACCACAGCAGCAAGCAAGGAAGAAGGCAAGGCAATGAAGGGGCTTGTTGTCCTGTGTCCCGAGCCACAAGAGAGAGAATGATTGTTGGTGTTTATAAAGAAAGAGAGGCAGAGGCCTTAGTTGGAGAGCCAGGGGCAGGGGATTGCAACTTTGCCACTTCCATGCATTTTTTGTCTTATTCCTAAAGTTTATGCTGCTTCATAAAACACATGGCCTTTCCCCCTGCTAACATTATCTAATTTCTTAGACCTCCTCCTCCGTCCTAGCCGTCAACGCCCACACATACCACTGCCGCACCATGGAGGTTGGCACGGAAGAATCGGGAGGGGGTCCCTACAGTAATGGCCAAGGCAGAGGCCGTCGCCCTGAAAGAGCGGCGTGCCAACGGGAAGGTGGAGAAGGATGCCTTCCAGATGGAGTTCGCCCAGATGGAGCCGTGCCTGTCCAAGAGCCCGAGGGGCAAGTACGTGAACTAAAGTACCTGGACCTCGGCATGAACAAGTATGGTGGTGAGCAGGATATAAAAATGTGCAAAAGATGAAAAATAAATGATCAACTTTTTACATGGTTGCAATAAAGATGTAGCCTTTGAATTTGCGAGGGCCACCCTGCTAGTTGCGGAAATAGTAAAAAAAGACCTGTCAATTTTGACAACATTTCAATATTCTGTTGTACTCGCATACGAAATTTTGCCAATGTGGTGCTGACTTTGTTTTTTTCCCATGACACCATCAAACTCATTCGTTGGTGAAACATTTTACACAAGTACAATACTTGATAATGTTTCTTGCCAAAAAGAAATCATGATGTTTTCAAATTAGTTTTGCAATTACTATAGTTTCTTTGAAAAACGGTGCATATACAGGCAAGTTCTGGACATCCTCCTCTCTCCCTCTTATATGGTCCTCCACGCATCTCTCTCTCTCTCTCTCTCTCTCTCTCTCTCTCTCTCTCTCTCTCTCTCTCTCTCTCTCTCTCTCTTCGCCTTCTCCACAGGGGTTAGTATCCGCCCTCGCAGTAAGAATTCTGATGTGAAAATTTAGCCACAAGGTACTTGTACTATCATGCCTGTGTGCGTACGGTGGTGAGCCAAATCTATAGCGATTTCGCGAGCGTTGAGGCCATGGGTGCCATGGCCGTGGAGAATCGGAACTTCCTCGAGAAGCAGCACACACTCTACGAGACCGCGTGCAATGCTTGTGTGGCACCCTCGGACACACAGACGGGGCTGGCGGCGCGGGCATTTGCGGACGAAAACGCCAACAGCTGCGCGTCGTTCCTGCCGCTACGACGAAGAAATCGGCCCGTACATGTTTGTCGCCAACCTCACCTGCACCGACGACAGCCAGGTCGCGGACTCTAACGAGGAAGAGTAAGGCATGGGAGACGACAGCGCCAGTCTGTGTCCCATGTCCTACTCTACCTCGTTGATGAACGCGCCTCCAATTCCCAGGGATTACGGCCGCCGGACATGAAAATGGCAGTGAATAACAAGGACTTGGAGGACAGGCATCGGCAAACATTTAGACTACGTTAACTTCTAGATGCTTTTTTTAATAAAATATATTTAAAATGTAATGAACTATGAAAGTTTTGAAACAAAGAAAATTCACCTATGGACCCATCATGATGTGGATTTTGAAATAAAGTTGCACAATTCTGAGAGCGTAACCCATTTTGGTTGCAAAAAATGGGAAGCACTTTGCAAGATGTATGGTTTTCATGAGGATATACTTGTCACCATGGATCTTGGTGATCCTAAAATCGAGCAAGGCAATATGGACATTTGGGTCCTTGTTGATACGCCTTCAATTCAACCGCTATGTGAATTTCTCAAACATAGTTATTAGCTAATTTATATTGTTCATCTCAAAATAGTTGACAGCTTATTTCCATTGACAGCTTATTTTCATTCTTCAGAGAATGTGCGAAAGATGGTAGACAAAACCTACTACACCGAAGGCTCTGAATTAACTTATCAGGAGAAAACTCATCCGTGCATCTTTTGCATACTTCTAAAACTAATACACCATTTGCTAACTATGAAGTTATTACTATGTTTTTCAACAGATAATCCCAGAGGATTGTGTGCCTCATTTGATGTATCAGAAAGGTAGCCTTAATGTTTTGAACATACAGCCAGGTCATCCTACGAATCTTAACTGTCCATACCGGATTTCTAAAAGAAGTGGAGACGTGCTAATCAAAGAATGGAAAAAATGTATGGACAATCGTAAGGAGGTTCTTGAAAGCAAAAGGAAGCAAAGCGCGAGAATTGGAGACAGGATGATCTCCATTCTCCATAATGGAGAGTCAGGGTCTATATTGTTTTATGCTATTTTACCTTAAAGAGGGTATTTAGGTCCTACCTGATACTGATGATCATGTGCCTAGAACAATTAAGTTGGGTTGGTTCGATGACTATGAGGATGATGATCGTATGACTTGTTATTAATAACGACTAGAAGTTGTATGATGATGATTAGTAGGACTTATTATTATGATCATGCATGATGCGGGCATGAAGAGTTATTATGTATCAGTGGGTGAAATGAACATGGATTGGATTGAAGTGAAGGCAACATTCATGTCGTGCATGTCAAAAGTAGTACTAATCCAAACTTGATCAAGTTAGGATTAGTATTACTTTCGACATGCACCACATGTTGCCTTCACTTTAATCTAAGCCATGTTTAGGCATAGCAGTAGCGTTGGTAAACCAAGCACGGAGATAAGAGAGGACATTTTTCTCTATTAGCTAGCTAACACACCCTAAATAACCCCCTAAACCACCCCCTTTCAGAAAAAAACAAAAACCTCAGCTCCTGCCAGCTGCTGACGCATGGACGCCTATTTGGTCCCGGTTGGTGCCACCAACCGGGACCAAAGGCCCTCCTGCCCGGCCTCGCAGCACCGGCCATATGGAGGCCCATCTGTCCCAGTTCGTGTAAGAACCGGGACTAAAGTCCTAAGGCTTTAGTAACAACCCTTTAGTCCCGGTTCAGAAACCGGGACAAATGGGCGTCACGAACTGAGACAATAGGCCCTTTTTCTACTAGTGTGATACGGTATCATGATATGATACTCAAACATCTCTTCCTACATTTAATTTCATGCCACCTCATCAAAATAGCTTAGGTGGCATGCATGATACTACCTATGATACTTACATTTTATGGGCAACCTTATACAATAAATGCAGTGAATATGTTATGAATATGTGCAAAAGATGAAAATAAATGATCAACTTTTTTCATGGTTGCAATAAAGATGTAGCCTTTGCATTTGCTATGGCCACCCTGCTAGTTGCGGAAATAGTAAAAAAACTGACAATTTTGACAACAAACTCAATATTATGTTGTACTCGCATACAAAATTTTGCCAATGCAGTGCTGACTTTGTTTTTTTTTTCATGACACCATCAAACTCATTCCTTGGCGAAACATTTTACATGATTACAATACTTGATCATGTTTCTTGCCAAAAAGAAATCATGATGTTTTCAAATTAGTTTTGCAAATACTATAGTTTCTTTGAAAAACGGTGCATATACAGGCAAGTTCTGGACGTCCTCCTCTCTCCCTCTTATATCGTCCACCACGCATCTCTCTCTCTTCGCCTTCTCCAGAGGGGTTGGCATCTGCCCTCGCAGTAAGAATTCTGATGTGAAAATTTAGCCACAAGATACTTGTACTATCATGCCTGTGTGCGTACGGTGGTGAGCCAAATCTATAGCGACTTCGCGAGCGTCGAGGCCATGGGTGCCATGGTCGTGGAGAATCGGAAATTCGTCGAGGAGCAGTAGACACTCTACGAGACCGCGTGCAATGCTCGCGTGGCACCCTCGGACGGACAGACGGGGCTGGCGGCGCGGGCACTCGCGGACGAAAACGCCAGCAGCTGCGCGTTGTTGCTGCTGCTACGACGAAGAAGTCGGCTCGTACATGTTTCTCGCCGACCTCACCTCCACCGACAACAGCCAGGTCGCGGACTCTAACGCGGAAGAGTAAGGCATGGGAGACGGCAGCGCCACGTGCCTCACGTGCGATAGTCGGTGTCCCATGTCCTGCTCTACCTCGTTGATGAACGCGCCTCCAATTCCCAGGGCTTACGGCCGCCGGACATGAAAATGGCAGTGAATAACAAGGACTTGGAGGACAGGCATCGGCGAACATTTAGACTAGGTTAACTTCTATATGCTTTTTTTAATAAAATATATTTAAAATGTAATGAACTTTTGTCCGATTTAAATGGAAATCATCCGATTTGCATGGAAATTGTCCTTCGAATCCGGTGTGAAATATATACGCAGAGGGTTGGATGGTCAGCTTCTGCACGAGTGCCGACGGATGCGCGGGCGGATGGATACAGTGTCCGTTTTTCGTGTCCATGTTGAAGTTGGCCTTATCTGGAAACGATGGGCAAACATTCCTTCCGATGGACATCTATCTATCTCGTGCATGCTTTAATAATGTGCCATGCCGATTGCACTGTGATGCCATGCCGCATGGACGTCTAGCGCTAGAGGATGTAGTTTTGTGGGCAGCAACTTGTTTGCCCTATGACAATGCCGTTGGTGGGCATCTTTTTATTGGGGAGTGAGTTTATCTCGACACAACGAGCAAGGATTCCTCACGATGAGCATCTATCTATCTCGTGGTGTTTCTCGAGTGTGCTATGCCATACTATACTATAGAGTATACTATACTATATATCCCCATGGGCCATGGCCCAGGCTTAGCTGTCTTGGACAGTAGTAGGAGCTCCTCCGGGAATCAAGTACTCACTCTTCCGGCAAGGGACCTCGTATTGCATTGCCAACGCGTGTATAAATACGGGCAGGACTACATGTACAAATTCATTCATTCATTCTCTCACAGCCATCGATCCATCTAAACTAGGTGGAGCAGTACATACACAGCAAAGCAAGGCATAATGGCCTCGGGAGTGTTCGGTACCCCCATTTCAGAGAAGACGGTGCTGGCCACTGGAGAGTATAAGGAACCCATCACTCAAAAGGATGTTGCGGACTATACCATGAAGATGATCAACGCCGGTGGTAAGGATATTAACGCACAAACCTTCGTCGACAACCTCAAGGAGAGGTTTGTTTCTGTCTTTCTGTCTTTCTTTCCTTGTTTCGTTGTGCGTAGTATATTTCTGCTTCTAGCTTGTTGCCATACAAACAAATTTCTTTTAGAGAGAGCTTAATCTGATCCATATTTTGGCTACATTGCTATATAGGTATGGTAACGGAATATCTGTAAAATGCCTCATCTACAATGCCACCGGTGCCACTTTGAACTTGGCTAACTACAAAGACTGGCACGGCCATATCTACGATACACCCTACCCATCAGATATTCAGAATGGGCAATGGGGGGCATTTCTCCACGTCCACCCAAGTGGCGCTGCGGTTGGTTCAGCTGGTGCCGTTGTGTATCGTACCAAGGTCCCATCCAGCAGCAGCTCCTGCGATTGGTTGTTCTCCTGGACCGTCCCCTACATTGGTGCCAATGGGGTAAATACTGTGCTTTATCTCCAAATGTTGTATCTTACCTTTTTCTCTTTGTTCATGCTCCAAACTAATTTTAAGTAAATTTATACGTAACCAAAAGTAAAAGGTGAAATTCACTTGGCAAGTGATGCATTTACAAAGCTGCAAATTATAGTTCTTCTAATTAAGATATTATAAGATCTTGTTTCATTAGTCTTGATAAGTACATAAAAAAATCATATTCCTATATAGTTATATGAAATATTTAATGATTTAAAATATGAATTACAAGCGTGCCCATTAATACGTTGAATTTTATTTAGGGACAAGGGAATATGTTCATATTCACATCTCAATTATCAAATGAACTTAACTCGTACAAATAAATAAACTAATCTAAATTAAATCCAATTGAATTTACTTAGTATAGTTTTTCAACTGAAAAAATGTGGCATATATCCCAAAACTCTACTAGTGCATGTTCTAATATCTTATGTATGTAGATCTACACCGAAATCTGTGAGGAAGGGCACTACCCAAGTGTGGGAAGCTGGGATTATATCTATGACGTGAAGCTGGAAAATGCAAATGTCAACTCTACTGATAAAAACTATGGATATGTTTCCGAGACTAACATCGGTGAAGGCTCTACCATGAACGCTCGTGGAGTTTTCCAGTTTCCCTACTAGATCTCTTTGCCAGCATCGAGGGGTTATTGTGGTCTTCAAAGTCTTTTGTGGCGAGGACGTTTGGGGCTATTATCTTCCTTTACTATATTTGTGGTGCACTCCACTAGTAGAAAAAGGGCCTAATGTGAAGCTCATTAGTCCCGGTTTGTAATTGAACCGGCACTAATGTGACCATTAGTGCTGCTTCCAACGGCTAGGCGGGCGGAGCTCAAAATAATGAAGCTTTGTAAGAAAAAAATGATTTAGTGGCATTGGTATTAGCCTTAAAGAAGAAAGAAGAAGAAAATTAAAAATTAAAAACAAAGTCAAAATAATGAAGCTTTCTAAGAAAAAATGAATTGGTAGCATTGGTATTACCCTTCCAGAGGAAGAAAATGGAAAAGGAAACAAATAAGGACAAAATTTGCACTTAACTTCAACACAAATTAAAATTTATTATATTATGCAAGAATAAGCATATAGTGTAATTTCAAAAAAAAATCTAGGAAGAAAGTAATTGGTGGCGTTGGTATGAAATAATGGATTAGGGCATTGATATTACCCTTCCAGAAGAAAGAAAATAAAAAACAAATATTGAAAAAATTTGCACATAATATACACAGAAATTGTGATTTTTATAATATATAAGAATAATCATATAATATTATGAATTTTACAAAAAAGAAGTATGCTCACAAGGAAAGAATTAGTAACACTGGTATTAGCCTTAAAGAAGAAATAAAATAAAATTAAAACAAAAACAAAATAAAAATAATGAAGCTTTCTAGGAAAGAACGAATTAATTGCATTGGTTTTACCCTTACAGAAGAAAGAAAATAAAAAAACAAATAAGGACAAAATTTGCACATAATTTACACACAAATTTGAAGTTCTTATATTATGCAAGAATAAGCACATAGTTGAATTTTAAAAGAAGAAGAAGATTTAATTAGTGGTGTTAGAATGAAAGAAAATGAAATAAAAAACCGCAAACAAATGATAACAAAACTTGCACACAATTTGAGTTGAAATTGCATAATTTTATAAAGGCAAAATTAAGCGTATAATAGGGAATTTTTTGCACTTTATAAAAGTTTACACACATATTGTGCAATACTTATGTGCACATTTACACACACCTAAAATATAAAAAATACACATAAAGAAAAAGAAAAATCGACTAAATACAACTTGGTAAATGATAAAGATAAAAACTAGTACAAAGCTAAAAGGACAAAAACGAATATTTTTCTAAGGTAGAATGAATTAGGCCATGGTTTAGCCTAAAAAGGAAAGAAAATAAAAAAACAATTGAAACAAATGATGATTAAAAATTGCACACAACTTAGCCAAGAATTGCACTGTTGCACAATAAGAAAAATAAGTATATCGTAGAGCAGTTTTTGGATAAAAATATGATTTGTACATAAGTTGCATCAAACTGAAACGCATATATTATGTTTTATTATTTTTAAATTATAGATTAGTTGTATCTTCACAAGTAGAAATAAAAATGTATCTCATATCGATGGTGTCGTCGTATGCTCTCTCGTGCACACACACAGCCAATCGAAGTTGAGTACACACATGCACATGCACACAGCACGCATGCATATGCCAGCAACACACGCACAACATACACAAAGTGGCAAACAACAGCAGCACATGCATGCGACACACACATGCACGCACACAAAAGCTGACACGTAAAAAAAGGAAAAACAGACTATGTACTGTAGAAGAAAAAAATTGACTGACCCAAATATAAATTTCAGTCAACTTACATATAGCAAAAGTGGTTTTTTAAATAGGCTGAGGAGGTTACCGATGGCTGGTGGTGAACTGGGTCCGCTGTTGTTAACTTATTACCATTGACAGGTTACAAGCTTTTCTCGCTAGGGGTGGAGCCAGGATTTAGGCATAGGGGGGCGAGACGTCAATGAAGCCAAAAAAATTTTGCCTCACAAACTTTCCAAGAGTTCCATGTCTAAGCCTTGCCAAGACACTAGAGACACATTTTTTTTCTCCTTGCAGCTAGAGTGTGCGAGGCTATAGCTAATATCGGTCAATAATTCCACATATGTGCCTACTAGATGAAGTTGATGACCAAACTACTCTGAAATACGACATGAATTAAATTGCTTGCTAAGAAAAATTATCATATGAAAATTTACATTACACGAGCAATAACAATCATTGTATAACTGAATGGTTTGCTTACTGGCTTTTAGCTTGCATCTATACATGTTTGAATGACAATTCATCACTTACGGACCATTCAAAAGAAATAATCACTAATAAGATGTTTGTTATTTTGCTGGAAAAACTGATCAATGTTGCTAGAACACATACCTAGAAAATCAAATCCAGCCCCTGCTCACCCCTCTGCCACTAGGTCAAAGTAGATTGGTTGGTCACTTGTTGGTAGACGCGCAAGAGCCATCCATGCTTAGCAAGGCTCGACGAGGCATCAACTGCTTCGAGCTTTAGGATGATCGTAGGTGCCTAGGGCCTAGCAACACAATGCATCACAAATGACAATCAAAATAATTAAAATCCGATGCATCAATTCGACATAATACAAGATCTAGAGAGATTAGTAGACACTATGACGTGCTGACCTCGGCTAGTTCATTGCCAGCCTAAAGAATTGATGATTGAAGCAACATGTAAATCAGATCTTGAGGGAGAGCAGAGGCGCACAGGCGGCAACAGCGCACGACGACAGCTAACCTACGCAAGCGCTACTCATGGGGGGCTCCTAATTGGCGCTTCACTGGTCGCTCGCTCGAGCGTTGTTTAACCTGTCGCGGTTGACCAACTGACTGGTCAAATATTGACTCTAAAAAAACAAAATTTAAAACAGAATTTAAAAAATTAAGAAAATTCAAGATTTAGAAATGTTCACAACTTTTGAAAAACATTGAACCTTTTTATTGAATTTGAAAAAAAATTGCCAGTTTTGAAAAAAAATATCGATTGCTCATCAAATTTGACTATAGTTTCATTCTAGTTGAAAAATAGTTCATAAATTTGAAAAAAGTTCATCAATTTTGAAAAAAAAGTTCATCGATTTTGGAAAAAAATCATCAAATTTGGAAAAAGTTCATCGCATTTGAAAAAAAATTGATCAATTTTTTAAAAGAGTTCATCCATTTTGAAAAACTTCTTATTCAAATTAGCAAAATAATAAAAAACCGAACAAACGATTCCGAATAAAAAATAAAAAGGAAAAAGTAAAAGTAAAAGAAAAGGAAGAAAAAAGAAATAGAAAATAAATAAGAAATAAGAAGAAAAGAGTGAAGATGATGTAGTTGAGCACATGAGCTGGTTAGTGCAGGTGCGTACGACTAGGAGGTCGCTTGTTCGAATACCACCGGATGGAGTCAGCGGGTGACGTGCGTATTTTGATCAGCGGGATGACATCGCGAACGATTTCATCACGTGGAGCGGACGTGACGTCGCGCTTAACAGCGATAGAGGGGCACGTTCACGTGCTAGTCGCGTCCTTTTCTTTATTATACTTCCTCCATTCCAAAATATAGTGCGCCCGCGCTTCCTGAGGTCCAACTTTGACCATAAATTTAACCAACAAGACCAACTGCGGCGAGAGAAAAAATTATATAATTGAAAACATCTTTCAAATACGAATTCACTGATATAATTTTTGCTCCCGCCGCAATGGGTCTTGATAGTTAAATTTACGGTCAAAGTTGAAGCACGGGGATAGAGGAAGCACTACATTGTGGAATGGAGGGAGTAATTATTAACACGACAAAAAAGGTACCGTGCCGTACATACAATATATCTATCATTAAACACATTAAGGTGCGCTAAAATGGTGGCCAACCAGCTACGCCATGTGGCACATGCTGGTTGGTCACAGTGAGAAAGTTTTCTTTAGAGTTTTTAAAATGGTAAGGTGATTTTTTTTAAGAAAAGTTTTTCTAGGTTTTTTTTTCCTTTTAAGATGATTGTGATGGCCACGTGACGTGAGAATATTTTTTAAAAACTTCGACATGATGGTGAGGTGCGCATAGCTTCTTCTCAAGCGGCCCGCAATGGCGGGCCCCAACCACTAGTAGACTAACATAGCACGGACCGACTATGCTTTATCTGCTCTCTCCATCCGAACATGCACACAACCAATAACACTGTTGTGTGTATTGAGTACTAGTATTGACCAGAGAAATCAATTGGTCAGGTTACCAACTCACCCAGGTGTCTCCATTTAAAAGTGGAGACAAGACTATTATCGGTTGCGTGCGGCGCTGGACCTCCTCGACCTTCCGTCTCCTATGCTACCGGTGGCTTTGGAAATACAGCAACGCGGTCGTCTTCACACTAGCTATAGTGAGGAGCAGTGGCGGATCTAGGATTTGCTAACGCCTCAGGCAAAAAACTAAGGGCTAAAAACTATCAAAACAAAAACTTCAGTTTTAAGGCATACAAAAGTTGATCTATGATGCATAACTAATAAGAAACCGAATATAATATTCAATGACATCATTTGTTCTATATGATGGGTCAACTAATAAAGCAAAACAAATCAAAAGACAATATGTAGCATAGATAGATAATACAAAAGATTGATACCAAATCAAAGGATTGGTTGGTCTGAGCCTCCCATGATCACATCTTCAATAGCAGAAGAAGCTAAACCTTCAATTATCAATTTTCAAATGCAAGTCAATGCATAATATATCAAGTAAAACTAGTTAATGATGCATGCAAAATGTGAAAACTTACGTATAGAACGAGGAAAAACGCCTTTACGTGTGCGATAACCTTGAAATCGCTCAATGATATTTGATTCTTCAATAGTAACAAATACATCTCGCTCAATGTGACATACCATTCTATGATTCATCCAATCATCACCCATTTTGTTTCTCAATCCAGTCTTGATAATGCTCATTGTTGAGAATGTTCTTTCCACTGTTGCGGTTGCAACAGATAAAATCAATGCTAGCTCAACAAGACGGTAAACTAAGGGAAAAGTTGTGTGCATATCACTTTTA